ATGAAAAAAATTTTGTGGCAACCGAGTTTTGCTAGTGACTTATTATGTTTATAAAATTATAAACTTGGATAAGATTGTACCCTTCTCTACATTAGCAACAATAGCCTTTTGGTGTTCTTGGCATTTATTAGCAAAATATTCACTTAGATTTGTGGTTAGTATAGTTTTTGGAATAATAATTTTTAGATTTTAACTGTCTAGTAAGTGTTTAACCGATTTAATTTTACAAGTTCGAGTGTTCAATAGTATAATTTTTGCAAATTAAAGTACTTAACGAGTATATTTTTATAAGTTGAAGTGTTTAATAAATCAAAGTAAAAAATTGAGAGTGCTATAAGATTTTTATAGATAAAGTACAATAGTGAATTTATGCTTTGGGGGAAAATAAAAACAATGGAGCTTTCTCAGCAAATTAAAAGTTGTTTCAAAATGGAACATTTCCAAAATATAACAATCAAGCAAAACTTTCAAATTAGGATGAGTTACATATTAATGAATTTGAATCTAACGAAATCTATAACAAATGGCACAATCAATTCCCCAAAATTTGAAGTGATATAAATTTTTTTTGCTAAAAAATTACATAAATTGTAAAAAGTTGATAGTAAACACTTGACTTTTAATAAATATTTTTTTAGTTCAATTCAGTTTTTATAAATATAGTTTGGTTTTAATTATTTTTTTTTATTCAGTTTAGTTTTTATGAAGTTGAAAAAAATGAGGTTAAAACCGTTAATACAATAATTAAAAATTGCATCGAATCAGTTAAATTAAATTGATTTAGTTTGGTTTTATTATATAGTCATTTTGTTTTAATTCAATTCATAAATTAAACGATTAAACATTTACCCTCTAATTTAAACACTTAATTATAAAGTATTTTATTTAAAAAAATAAAGAAAAATTATAATATTCATATACTATTAGTGTTACTTAATCCTTCTTTATATGAAAATGTATTGTTTTGTTTATAAAAAAATTAAATTGCATTATGTTGTTGATTTGGTTTACTTGGGTCATTGGTTTAGACGCTCAACAAGATTGACGAAGAAACCTTATAACATGATCAGCACAAGCCCAAGACCAAGCCCAAGCTCAAGCCCAAGATATGTTATTCTCTCAGTCACATGAAAAACACGTGACTTAGATACCTCATACCACGACAAAAACCAATCTCGCTGTACCCAAAAGAAGAAGAGGAGAGAGAAAGAGATTGAATGGCGGGAAAACGAAAAAGGGTGACTTTAGAGAGGGAAAACCAGAAGCTCCTGTTACTCTATTCATTCAACCACTACACTTTCTTTTGATTCCAGAAAAAATTTCAAGGGAAATAATAAATAAAATAGAAAGAACAAAGGATCAGAGAGAAAAACATGGCGAAAATAGAAACCCTAGGCATACTCGAAGAGATCGAAGCTCTTGTTTCTGATAAACTTCAAGTGGTAACTTCTGATTCTCACGCTTTCTATCTGATTCTATTCTTTGAATCTTTTTCCCCAGTGTAATTTTCCCCATCCATGAATTTGGAACTGTTAAATTCACTTTTGATTAATATCTTACTTGTAAGTGGAATTCTCACTGTATATGGTTTTAGTTTTCAGTAATTTAATTAGATTTACTGGATTTTTCAAACAAATTTTTCTGCTTTTAGGAAATTAATGAAATAAGAAGGAATTGGTGTTTTATGATAAGGGACTAGGAGTTATTATGTGCGGAAATCTATAAGTGAGTTTCTTATCTAGTTTGTTTTACGAATTCCCTAAGTGCGTGCATTTTTATGAGAAGAAATTAGACCTGTGAAGTGTAATCATGCAACAACAACCCATTTTTCAATGCGAAACAGAGCTGATATTGAAATATATATTTGTTCTTTAATTCTTTTGCGAAGATTTGAACTTTTGGAGTGAAGAGATTTGTGGTTTTGTAATTTGACTTGATAGTGTGATTCGTGTTGGTGACAATGCAAATAGACACACACACACACATATATATTTTGGGGTTGGGGGGTGTGGGAATAAACTTTATTCTCCAAGAATTTTCTACCATTGCAGCCATTAGATGCCAAATTTTTTGGACATGCATAGTGCCTGCATATATCACGTTCACATGAACATTACAAACTATGCTGCCATTAAGTTAAGTTTAAATGTGGCTGGACAAGTTCCAAACTTCAAGGTTTAACCAAACATTAGTATGTCTGTCAATTAACTCACTTCAATTACCAAACACATTGATTGTTGCATATGTTGTTTCACTTATCATGTTCTAAATATAAATGGGAAAGTTTCATTTAACTTCCATGTGGATGTCTCGGGAAACTTAAAATTCTGTGTAAAGCTACAAATATTATTGTAAGCATTGCTTCTACAATACTTTATTTTTCAGGTTTCATACAAGTGGTTGAGTCGCAATTTTTTGGTGTCATCAAATGTTGCAAAAAGGTATTTTTCTTATTGTGATAATGCTGATAGTCCTTTTCTTTTTTGCCCCCCATTATGTGTCCAATAAAAAGTTGGTCTGTCCATAGGTTGCTTCAAGAGTTTGTAGAGCAGCATAAAAGTGGTTTGGAAGTTGTATATACTCTGTCTGGCTGGTTGAAGAATGATCCTCAAGGTTACCATATCAGGCTTGTTTCTGGGACCAAACTTGAAGGTCAGCATTTTCTTTAGAGTATCATAATATTTCACTTCTGCAATGTTGTTATTGTTGGTTGTTGTGGGAAGAGAGAGATCTCTGCTATTCCACATACCACTTCACAGTAGGTAGCCATCGACATCCTACAGATGGCATATTTTTCTCTAACTGAGTTTGTGCATTGTTCTTCTTTGCAGCGTTTCATGCACATTTATAAAGTTAGGGCATGCTTAGCATCATGACAAGAAATTTGATCTAATATCCTATCAAATCTCTCTCTCTCTCTCTCTCTCTCGGGCATGAGACTTAGCATCATTGACAAGAAATTTGAATCTAATATCCTAATCGAAAATCGCTCCTCCCTTCTCTCTCTCTCTCTCTCCCTCTCTCTCTCTCTCTCTCCTCTCTCTCTCCCTGTTCTGGCATTTCTTCCTTATTTGCTCTCCATACCAGTGGGGACAGGGTTGGCATTTAGCGTTAACTATAAGTTATTTTCTCTCATCTAAATATATTTGGTAATTTCTCTCTCTCTCTCTCTCTCTCTCTCTCTCTCTCTCTCTCTCTCTCTCTCCCTGTTTGTTGATTTCTTCTTATTGCTCTCCATACCAGGTGGGACAGGGTTGGATTAGGTTAACTATAAGTTATTTCTCTCATCTAAATATATTTGGTAATTTCCTATTGGTTTTATGCATAGATCTTAGGTCAACCTCTGTGTGTTTAGAGCTTTTAGTGTTGACTTCCTTTCTTCTTCAATTAGGCTGCAGAATTTTTTGTTGCAAGTTATGCCAAGAAATTGCTACCATATACTAAATAATTGTAGAAGTGCAGATAGAATATATCGAAAATCAAACAATACCATGTTGTTTTAGAGCCCAATAATTAACTACTTTGATTTTGGATTGAAGTACTATTCTTTTTCTGGTCCTGCTGATAGTGTATTGCATTTACAAACCATTCAGGGAACTTTTGGTTAAATTATTTATTATCTTGTTGTGGTGGCTGCTGGTTGTTCTGTACTGTTTAATGTATGTTAACTTTAACAAACACCAGAAAAAGGAAATTGACATCAAGCTCTCTTCTGAAATTTTTTGCAGACTCTAAACAAGACTTTGATGGCAATTGTTCAATTCATGTCTATAGTGTGCAAGCTGCAATTCCAAAGGACGCTGCTGCACTTTGGAATGATGAATTTGTACAAGCAGAAGAGCTTTTCAGGCAGCCTTTTGCAGCTGATAATTGCTTGAGAGATAACAGGTATGGTTCTGCATTATAGCTCTTTCAATTTATAGTCCTCTATTAGTTTCTGAGAGCTAAAATGTTTATTATTGATATTTTAGTTCAAAGAAACTCGTCTTGTATACGCTACTAAATTGACAAATGTGATTATTAATTGTTAAAAAAATTTGTATCTCTTGTTATGATGACTATGTTTAGATATCGACAAAATGAGAGCATGAATTCTTAATCAACAAAGCCTTTAGGAGCTGAGCATCCCTACAAAAGTCTTAATCTCAAGCCAATTTGGGTCAGTTACACGGATACATTTCTTCCTTTCTGTTCAGTTTTGCATAAAGTCTTTAGCAAGACCTAGCCTATGTAGATCTTTCTCAATCACTTACTCTTTGTCATTTGGGTCTTCCTGTCTCATTCCTAGCCTCATCTACTTTAAGGTGCCATATTTTCCTTGTAGGGGCTTTTAGACAGTCTCTCATTTTTTTTCCTCAATATGTAGAATTCGTACCTTCTCATGAATTCACTCTTTTCAAATTCTGTCCAATCCCATATGACCACGCATTCATTATACTGTTCTCATTTTTGAGACATTGATTGTTTTTCTTTGATTTTTCTTTACTGCCCAACACTCACCGACTTATGGAGCTAAGCATCCTTGCTAAGACAATTCTTAAAGAACAGACATAAGTAGTAAGTAGAACATTCCACTTTGAAAGGGTTGGGGAACAGTCATCAAGATAATTCTTATAATGGCAGGCTGTAGGGGGAAAAAAAGCGCCAATGTTGGCAACTTTATCAATCATGAGGACAAGGTGTCAATTGGCTTTTGCCCGAAATGCTTTTTGCTTGCAATTGGTTGTTCTTCTTTTGGGCCATGAGTTTGACCTTGTAATTATGTTATGACCTTGGGAGAACCGCACCTCAAAACCTAGCCGTTGAGGTTGGAGAGTCTAAGTTCATCTTAACCCCACATTGAAATCCAATGCTTTCAAAGTGGGATCCAAGACTTGTCATACCTTGTCTTGCAACTAGGATCCTGACATCCCACCATGCACCGCAGTCTCGGTGCTGACGTCAAGTTGGCTTTGTGCTGAGATGGTTGTGTGCTAGGTTTTTTTCCAAGCCTTGGGCGAACACTACAATACTGATGTCACCGTCTAGTCCTGGGTGAACACTACAATTCCAGCATCACCACCCGTTCCGCAATATTGCAACTGGGAGAAGTGGTGGTTCCCTTTGATTCTAATTGTTATGACCTTGGGAGAACCACACCTCAAAGACTAGCCGTTGAGGTTCAAGAGCCCAAGTGCATATCAGCCCCACATTGAAATCCCAACTTCTATTGTGAGATCCAAGTCACATCCCATACCTTGTCTTGCAACCAGGACCTTTACAAATTATCTAGTTATCTATGTGCATGATGTGGCTGTAGATATTGTTCCTTTTTTTTCTGGTTTTAGGTTGGGGAGTAGGGGTGTGAGAGAGAAAGGAGCTGTTAATTGTCATAAGGTGTAGTCCAAATTATAAGTTCGTTATACTTCTTCAGGTATAAAAAAAGTTATGTGGTTACTTTTCGTGTTTCTGTTTACTAAGTTGAAGTTATGCCCTTTAGAGGAAGGGGAGGAAGGGGTCATCAGGGAAATGTCAAGAGTACACTTATGTACCTTAAAAGGCAATCGGTATCTTTCAAGGAAATAATTGGCTGGTTATATGCATCAAAGTGTTAATATTTGCTTTGGTTGGGATGGCAGAACAAAACCATTTGATTTTTGTCTGTTCATGTTGTGCGCTTAGCAGAAGGGTGATATGTTTTGATCTTTTCTTGGCATGATTAAATAGTTAGGCATGCAATGAAGTCATATATTCTCATAAAACAGCATGGATGCCCCTTCTTATCATGGATCATTTTTTATTTGGAAACCTAAAAATGATGCTTTTAGAAGTTTTATTCCTTGGAACTCACTAAACTTGAATTTGAACTTCTCATCTTCAGTTTTAAATGTATGCTGTTAATTATTGAGGGCAGAAAAACATCAAGATGACATCAATTCCTTGTTCATTGGCTGTTATATTTAGGATGGAATATTGTCTGAAAACAAGCATGATGAATCTATGTAACCCATTGAAATACCTGCCACATACACTTGGACGTGTACTTAACCCTTTTGTTGGGATGTCTGAGGCAAGCTCAAATAGTGGTAGGATATATTCTGATTTTACCTTCACATGTGTTTTGAAATTCTTGTTCGTGTTCACATTTGCATTTCTCAATAGTTGCACTTGTCGCAGATGGTTTTTTTTTTTTCTCTGATGTATTAAATTTTCTTTTATCAGGTTTTGTGGGGTTCGGAACCCCTTTGTTAAGCGCAATGTTGATGGAACTCCTGTAAGCAACGCAGCGGCACAGAACCAAAGCATGGGAATCTCAGGGCCATCCAAAAGTAATCTTTCCAGTGAAAATAATATGGTTCTACTTGCTCACCAAATTAAAGTTGAGCAATCAGGCCCAAAGGTTGGCCCGCAATCTTCCAATTTGGTAAAAGATGTTAAAATTGAAAGTCTTGGGAGGGGAGTTCATAATCAGTCCTCCAAGCCCCATTCAGACAGAGAAAAAGCCCATCCCAATCCTTCTAGTGGAAAGAATGGCCAGAGTGATAAAAATTCCAATGAAAATGGAGGTTCCTTGGCATCCTTGTGGGGTCGTGCATCAGCAAAGTCAAAACCCAATTCTGCACCTGCAGAAAATAATAGTCTCATTTCAAATCCTACTGGTATGGTATGATGTGTCATTTTTTATGATTTGTATGTAACTTATGTTACACAATTTAGAGCTCTTTCTTATGTGATAATTCTTTTCTGATTTTTGGATTGGCTTGTTGATGTTATTAGTTGGTGCAGAAGCTCAAATTTCTGCCCATGAAGCAATAGAGGATCGGAGCAGTGATGATGAGGCTCAAGATGTCAATTTTAAGCGAGCATCTAACGGTGATGGTGGTAGAAAAAGGAGAGTAGTTTTTGATTACTCAGACGATGAATATGAAGATGCGGTCAGCCTAGCATCACCAGATCTTCCAAAGGGGAAAATCGGCAAAACTTCTCCTGAGAAACCCAATTTCAATGACCAAATGGAAGATAAACCAAAGGTTAAGGAAGAGAAATCAACTTACGCAGCATTTAATCAAGTTGTGAGGGAAAAATCTTCAGTTTCGAGCAAGAGCAACTCTAGAGACTCCTCTAAAGAGAATATCCATAGCAGCAGTACTGGAGAAGGTGTTAAAGCAGATATAGTTACAAATGGTGCTCCAAGTTCACCCAAAAGGAGAAAAGTATTGAAGACTCACATTGATGCGCGTGGTAGAGAAGGTATAACCATGCTCAAATGCTTCTCAATTCATAAATGTCATCAATGTTAGAAAAGTTGCTTCAATCTATTTTTCCTCTCTTTTGTTTTGGTAATACTATTGTTTCCTTTCCATTCAATCCTTATGTTTCGGTGGTATTCGATTTTATTCCTTTTTTTAACTTTAGCATTCGGTACTAGTGCTCTAAGTCAGTGAATCCCATTAATATCAGAGGGATGTGCAATTCTGTCATGTTCCGAGATGAATGATTAGTGGAACTTTAATGAACCTGTGCAAAAGTGCCTTGTTTGGATGGTCTTCTTTACAGCACGATATGCTCTGCGTTGTTGACCCTAATTTCTTGTTTCCCTGAACAATTTACATTAATGAATCTCTTTTCATTGTTGCAGTAACTGAGGTGGTCTGGGAGGGTGAAGAGACAGAAACGAAGAAAGCAGAAAGGGATGCAACAAAGAAAGCAGAAAGCGATGCAACAAAGAAAGCAGAAAATAATGCATCTATCAATACGGTCAACAACAGGTTTGAAATATTACAAGAAGCATAAGAAAAGTTCCCTTACTTAAATTAACTGAAAGTAATGATGATGAAATTAGCTCACTGCATGACATGGATGATAAGCTTTGCAAGTTCATCTAATAAAATTATATTTTGATTAGAATCAATGTCATACTGTATGATAAAAGAAAATTGATCAAAGAGGCTGCCTTTCTATGAATATATATCCATGATTTTTTTTTCCTGTTCAACTCAACCGTCATAGAATTCTATTGCTTACAGATGTTTGATCAAAGTTCTGAGCATAGTGTCATTTGGGATTTGGTAAGCATTGCGGAAAAAAAATGAAAAAAGAAAAAAAAATGCAGCATAGGATTTTAATTAATCAAGTTATTGCTTACAGTTTTGATAATCTGAGAAAGGTTTAGTTTAGCAGATGATTTAAGCAATGAAGAATGGATATATGCCTATTCTTATTTTCCATATTGTTTTGTGGTCAATAGCACTTCTACTGTAAAAGTACTACTGATAAAAGAATGAGATGTATTATTTTACCTTAGAAAGGGTATTATAATCATGTAATTATGTTTATGACTTCACCATTGCTTCCTGCTTAAAAATTTCAGGGCACCTGCAGCTAAGAAGTCTGGGGCATTAGGTTCGTCCAAGACAGGAAGTAAAACGGGGAACAAAAAGGGAGTAAATAAGGACGCTAAGCAAGGCAATATTCTATCATTCTTCAAGAGGGTTTGAAGGTAAATAGGGAGCAATGTTCTTATAACTTTTTTTTTTTTTTTTTTTTTTTTTTTTTTTTTTAATTATGTTAATGACTTCACCCCATTGCTTCCTGCTTTAAAAATTTTCAGCGGCACCTGCAGCTAAAAAGTCTGAGGCATCTAGGTTCGTCCAAGACAGGAAGTAAAAACGGGGAAACAAAAAGGGAGTAAATAAGGACGCTAAAGCAAGAGCATATATTTCTTAATCATTCTTCAACAGGGTTTGAAGTAAATAAGGGAGCAATGTTCTTATAACGTTTTTTTTTTTTTTTTTTTTTTTTTTTTTTTTTTTTTGTTTTTCTGAGAGAAGGGGGGGATGGTAGGTTCAGGCCTTAGGGCAATTTTTGATGTAGCATATACTTATGTTTAACTTCTATATTAATATCAATATTTTTACATTTTTGGCATTTCTTTTAGCTTTGGTACATTGGAAATGTTTTAAAAGGGATGGGATCACCAAGGTTTGAACCTTTCATTTAGAATATCTTAATGGAATATTTTAGCATTCTATGCACTGTATTTTTGTTGCAAAACTATCCAAGCGTTTTGATCTTTCGCGGTCTGAAAATTGGTATTAACTGGGACTCAAATAATATGGTTTTTTAGTATATGCAGCGGGTTGAAAAATAAGTGAACGATTTACACTACTTTTTATATATATATAAGATTCTAATCGAGTTAAAATGGAGTTCAAATATTAGTCAAAATAATTTATTTTTTATTTTTCATAAATAAAATATTATATGTATTCTAGTTAAAAATTTATTTTTTAAAAAATATATCCAATTAAATCATGGAAGTATATTCTTTTTTCTTTTTTATCTCTCTTTTAATTAAATAAAATATTTTAAATTATAATCAAATATTTAAAAATAAATTATAAAAATTTTTAAATATCTTATTGTCATATATATCTATAAAAAATAAATCTAAAAAAAATAAAACTTAAAATTCTTAAATTCTTAATTATCTGTATGTTAATTAATAAAAAAAATTATATAAAATAAACATTGTATCCTCTCAAAAAAAACCCTCAATTTTTCCTATAACTGTACTTAAAAAAAGAATATATTCTTTTTTATCTCTCTCCTAAATATAATATTATGTATATTCTATCTAAAAATTTAATTTTTAAAATTCTCTCTATATAAACCCTCAATTTGACCTACCACATGAGAAAAAAAGAATATAGTTTTTTATTTTTTCTCTCTCCTAAATATAATACTCCTATTATGTATATTCTATTTGAAATTTTATTTTTAAAAAATATATCCAATCAAATTATACAAACATAAATAAAAAAGAATATATTTTTTTCTCTTTTTATCTCACTTGTAAATAAAATATTTTAAATTAGAATCAGAATAAAATTGAAATATTTAAAAAATAAAATATAAAAATTTTCAAATTTTTCATTATCATATATATTTATCAAAGGATAAAACTTAAAATTTTAAAATTCTTAATTCATATATATTTATCAAAGGAATAAAAACTTAATTTTAAAATTCTTATGATCCCCTAGATAAAACTTAAAATTTTAAAATTCTTAATGATCTATATGTATTTATTTTAAAAATAATTTTTATAAATTATATCCAATCAACTAATAAAATGGTAGTTTTCTAATGACTATAACTAAGACTACTTTAGGATATTCCAAATTTCATTGAGGACGATATCGAAAATGTCATTATTATCCATGTTCTCACATTTATATATAGTATAAATATAGATATTGTGTAATATATTTTTCAAATTTTAAAGTAAATATATTATCTTTTTAATGTGTTGAATATATAAATTATTAAAACAATTTATAATAGAAAATAAAAAAAATTAATTTTAAAAAATAATTTTATTAATAATTATAATAAAATCTAAATATAATATAAAAACAAATAAGCTATCAACAAATATAGTTAATTATAATAAAATCCAAAATTTAGCTAATTGAAACTTGTATCACCTACAACTTTGAACTTTTTACATTTGTAGACAGGTTAGGATTCTATCACCTACAACTTTGAACTTTTTACATTTGTAGACAGGTTAGGATTCCTAACTGAAAATTTCGTAGCTTGTGAACATTTTAACAAAATTGCGAATTAGACATTCATCAGTTGATAAAGTTTTCAATATAATACCTGTTAAAAAAATGAAAATTACAAAAAAAAAAAAAAAAAAAAAAAAGAATGCAAAGGCATACATTGTATGACATGCCATATTTTTCATTCATAAAATAAAAATGCATACGGCAACAAATGTGTCGCTCCACAATGCAAAATCTTCTCCTATCATAGGCCCTGCAAATATCCTAGCCATGGGTAAAATTTTTTTTTTTAAATGTTCCAAATGAGTTAGCAAATGATAGAATAGAAATTAGGAGTTGATTTTTTTTTCAAAAAATGATGGTACAGGAAGTAATTTAACAAATAAAATAAATATGTACTATATCTATAACCGCCGAGCACTAATGTAATAATATCTTAGTAAAATTATTATAGTGATAAAATCCAGATTCAGATTCGATTCTCTATATCTATTATCTATAAAATACACAAGAGCGAGAGAGAGAGAGGATGTTTATATCATAAAATTTTTGGAACAAAACATATATCGGCGAGTGATCGTTGAAATTAGATGGTTGTTGTTTGACTTGGGTATGTTGACTTCTTGTAAGTCTCATTAAGTATAGATCGTAGGAGAGAGCGAGCGCGCGAGGAAAAAAAAAAAAAAAAAAAAAAGAGCAAGCATAATTGTATGAATGCCATATTTTTCATGTCATAAATAAAAATGCATACGGCAACAAAATTGTCGCTCCATGCAAAATCTCTCCTATCATAGCCTGCAATATCTAGCATGGGTAAATTTTTTTTTTTTTAATGTTCCAAATGAGTTAGCATGATAAATAGAAATTGAGTTGATTTTTTTTTTTCAAAAAATGATGGGTACAAAGTAATTTAACAAATAAATAAATATTTCTTAACAATGACTTGGCGACACTATGTAAATAATATCTTAGTAAAATTATTAATAGTGATAAGATCCAGATTCAGATTCGATTCTCTTATCTATTATTATAAATACGCAACGTTATAAAATATATTTTATATCATAAATTTTTTGGACAAAACATATATGCGACGTGATCTTGAAATTATGGTTGTGTTTGACTTGTATTTGACTTTCTTGTACAGTCCATGTATAATGTGGAGTAACACTTGCCTAGTAGCTCGAGCTAGGGTTAAACTATATTTACTCGGTCTGATGCTTTTTAATACAGGGGTAACATACGAGGAAGAAATATAAAAACCTGAAATCCACAAACCTCTTGGACTTGTTATTTGTCTTTAGGATAATGTAGTTTTGGTTTGGGAGAAATCAACTCTACATTTCTACTATACCTTTTTTTAAATTCAGTTTCTGTCAAAACACACTAATTATAAGGAATAGAGCAAAACATATGAAAATGAATCAGGAAACCATTAATTACTATCAAACTCCTTTTTTTACTATACTTTTTTTAAATTCAGTTTTTTTATTATTCTTTCTATCTCAAAATGTTTATCCTGTTGATTTTGACATAAAATTTAAAAAATAAATTAATTACAATACCACATAATATAAAATATCTATATTTATCTAAAATTATCCTCCTTTAAAATAAAAGAATAGTTATTTCTAGAATTTAAAACTATTTATAACGAGGGACATAAAAGAAAAAATAAATATTTTTTAAATCAATTGGACGAACATTTTGAAATGAATGGAATATTATTTTTCTTTTCTCCTGCATTATTCTCATTTTTTTACCTCAATATTCCCTTCCACCTTATGCCTCCATCAGCCCCATCTTTTCAGTTTTGCTGGTTCTTGTTGTTGGATTTGAGGTATAGAAATTCCGAATTGGTATCATGCACACTTACAAATTTTCTTCACCAAATCTAGACTAATGAACTACGTTCCATATGAGAAATCAAATTCCATTTCTAACCTTGGAGTTTAATCAGCACAATTTTGTTGATTTTCCAGTGAATTATTTTATTTGCTCTTGGGTTTTAGTCATAACTAATGATGGCTAATACAATAAAAAAAAAATTGTTAAGATAAAATTATATGGGAAAATATTTTTCGCACAATTTTCGAAGGGTAAGTTAAAATGACAATTTTGACTCTATTACTTAGTAGATAAGAGTTCAATGAGAAGGAAAAAGAATGAAAATTTAAAGGAAGCAGGTTCAAAATGTCTCTAAATTTAGAGGTCATATACAATTTACAACTTTGATATAAACTTACAAACTGCTCATGTTATTATTTGCCTTGACGGTCAATGTAAAATTTTTATTAGTAACTTCCTACCCGATTAAAAAGATCGAGAGGTTTCTATCAATGTAGAAAGAAGGAGAAAATATGTTCCACCATTAATTTTTCAAAATTTTCAACGTCTCAGATCAACGCAGTATGATGGTCTTGGACTTGCATTCTCTCTTCTTTTTCCTCCATTCCTATCCTTCTTCTTCCTCTCTCATTCAACCTCCCGCAACTTATTTATTCATGTTCAAATTAAACTTATCACGAAACCATTAAAAAGTTAAAAGATCCAATAAATTAATCGTATTTAGTACAGTAATTTTTACAGAACTTACAAAGATGGAAAATAAATATATCAATGGCTATTTATCATGTGCATAATAAATAATATTAAACATTCCTAAATCAAAACAATCCTAAATATTCTCATAATGATCTTGTGAAAAGCACCGCCCAAAATTAATCTTTGATAGAAGCTCTTGAATTCACCTAGCCATTATTCGTGTTTTTAGTTACTGCATTGAATTCTAATAGTAACATCGTCTCTTGCACCACCGCAGGATATAAGATAGCCATCTTTATTGAAAGTCTATGTACAACTGATATTTATATTTTAACATTGCCATGGAAGAGTTTTCAATGATTGCGATGATTAGATTTTCGATTTTCTTTTATAAATATATAATTTTTAGAAGTAAGCAATAATAATAAAGGAAGTTAAACTTGAGATGGTATAAAATTGAATAACTATGCACGCGTTGGTGGTCTGAGAAAGGTTTAGATTGAGATGGAAGAAGGATAGAAGACAAAGAAAAAGATAATTAAGTTAAAAGAAAAAATTAAAAATTAAAAAAGAAAAAGTATAACACAAATCGTGAAGTTTCATGCACTTGTTTTATGGTATGAGGTTCACGTGCTTGGACTTTGGGCCAATTGTTCACAATGATATAAATCTCTGGATAAATTGAGAAAAAAAAAGTGAATTAAGTCGTGCTTTAAAAAATTGCTCAGGTTCTTTGTTATTCATTAAGCTAAAAACTCATTTATATAGTCGGAAAATTATTTATCCATTTTTATTCACTTTAAATTAAATTATAATTAAATAAGTCATATTTGATTAAGTCATTCATGAAATTAAATTAAATTAAAAATCTTAATTAAAAATTAAATTAAGTCACATTTGATCATACTTGGAATTAAATTAAATTAAATCAAAACACTTAAATTGAAACTAAATTTATATCACAATTGATGAAGTCACATTAAATTAAATCACAAATGAAACGAAATGAAGATACCCTAACTATGTTTAATCATATTCGAATTTGCAATTACTTTCTTACTGTATAGTTAAAAGCTCCCAATGCTAGGTATAAATGTAAAAATCATTTGCAATTTCATGTTTCCATGTTTTGCAACATTTCAATTATGTATTTCAAATTCATTGATTATATTAAACAAAGGGTAAATCTGCATTTCAAAATCGAGAATATATGAATAAAGTGCCTCTTGCACATTGAGCAATCAACTTCTGCACAGTAAGATTTATGGGAAAATTGAGATATTTCACTAAAACCAAAACAATCGTTGCGCTCTTCTTCAGTTTAACAGAATTTTACAGTAACAGAAAAAGTCTAATGCGGATACAAAAGGCTTATAAAAGGTATGATAGGAAGTAATATACATGATTTACATTCAATCTGTGCACAAATGGTGCAAATTAGTTTCCATTTCTCAGGTGTCCTGGATTAAGTTGGTCGGTTCGCTCAAAACATATTTGGGCAGTTCATATTTTGCACCTGCAACCACATTTTGAAGATATGAATATGACAAATGGAGAAAACAGGAAATATACAAAGTTTTAATTCAACATCATTAGCAAATTGTTCCCTGCATTTTTAGAATTAGCAATTTCAGCCCTTAGGTTTTGTCAATGACCCAATAGTTTTAGTCCTTGTCCCTAAATATTTATGAATTTTTTTTTTTTTTACATTTTAGCTTATGTAACACTTCAATCCTTAGTATTTTAAAATATAATGTATATTTAATCCTCAAGTTACTATATTATAGAGCACTTTAGTCCCTCAAAATTCTGCACTTCTCACTAAATTTATATGGGCTAGAAGTGCTAATTTTGAAATAGCAAGGACAAAAGTGCTAATCATAGCAAAGCCTCGTGTTATTATAGTAATTCCTCCACAGGAAAAAATGACATGCACCAAGTCGGCAATGCCTACATTATATAACTTTAGATAATTACCCAGCATACTCCAGAATTTTCTCAGGAGGGCAAATGCCTAACAATTTAACAAAAATTTAAATACCTCTTTCATCATAGCATATTGTCAAATCAGCATTTTGAACAATGACACCTGCACTGTCCACAATAGCTTGTGCAAGGGTTATATCAGCTTCCACAGCAGCTCGAAGAGCATCCCAAATCTCTGTCACAAAGAAAAGTATTGTTGTAGAAGTGGGATTAATGATATAAAAATTTCAAAAGCATATTGTACACACTTTTCATAAAAATGCTAAGACAAACAGGAAGATTCATGCCTGCCTTATCTTTGCTTCACATGAAATCTATCTATAAGACTAAATGGTGAAATGAACATATAGGATACATTTGGAATAAATTTTAATATATGATGTATTTCACTGCCAAAATACAGTTACTGCATCAATGAATTCTATTTCTTCACACACAAAAAATAAAAATGAAAACAAAAAGAAAAAGAAGAAAGAACAATTCTACTATGAACCTTGCTACATGCATCGTTTTTTCCATTCATGTTCTCTTTCTATATGAGATGACTTCTCCTGCCTATCTAACAACTGAAATGATAAAAATTCAGATGGTAATCAATTCATGATGTTAAACAGACATAAAAGTCAGGAGAAGAGATGTTTGCCATTAGACCCATTTAATTTTGGAGCAGTTACATTCACCACTAACCACGCACATTTGGGACTAGCGTAATAAAGGCTACTAATACCCTGCTGGATTGAAACAAGGCTGTCTCGCTAATAGTTGCCTTGTAATACCCTTTAATTACTAACTACTAAAGTATCAGTTTTCAGTCAACCACACATCATGAGTACAATAATGAACAAAATCTTTCCATGCCTGCTGACTTCTTGCTAGTTTACATAAAACTCTTGATAATGTACATTCCCCTTCTTACATGTCTTTATTTTTCCCTCATCCACCATTTATATCTCAAAAGAAGATCTTTCTAAACTTTTGCAAGTTTTCTTTTCTCAATCTAAAGAAAACTCAAAGAACTCTACTGGCTCATGGTGAAGGTTCAATCTGAAAAACAAAACTCCCAACACTAGTCATTATTAGCCTTGAAAATACATCAACACGTACAGACCAAAAAATCTCTCAACTTACAAGCACCAAACATTGACCTTCCTATCACTTCAACACCATTTTCTTATCCATTTCATCCATATTTTTCCTCCTTCAATCTACAATTCTAAGACCTTTTCTCCTTTTTTGCAAAAGGGTTCCCCAATTTACCACTGGATTCACCAACAGTGCTTTGCTAGTCCTTTTTTTCTTGAACCACTGTCCCACTGCCAGCCACCAAAAAAGCAGAGCATAAAGCTGCATGCCCCATGATGTTTGTATACAAAGGCGCAACCGTTGTATTATCAGGATATCCTGCTTTTGAAAATTATAATGACATTTTTGAGTATACATAAAAGTTTGACTAGCCTCGTTTTACCTTGTAGGATGTTCAGACCCTTGTAACCTCCTCCCTTTTGAGGTCAAGCCTTGGAGCAGCAGTAAAGTTTCCTTTTGATGGCTAAGAGGTCATGGGTTTCAGTCACGGAAACAACTCCTTCGCAAAAAATTTAAGGGGTAGGGTTCACACACTAGATCACCTCCTGATCCTTACAAATCAGGGTGCCTCATAGACTAGGAATGAGCCTTACAAAGCAGGGTGCCTCACAGACTAGGAATGAGAGTGCAGACCCCTTTTATACAAATTTCCCTAGCAGTTCTATTTAATGGCAGATTTTATATGATTTAAACCAGTAAAGCTTTGAAAAGATTAAATGCCCTACAAGGGGATAAAGGGAGTATTTTTCATGATTTCCCCAATAGTTTCCCAAAACTCAACCTCAACATGGAAACCGAATATGTCAATATACTTGCCATCAACAGTTAAAATTTTAGATTAACTGAATAATGTTTTATGATAGTTGTGTGTTATACACATGTGTAAAGATGTTAACACAATAGGGTGGCAGTATACAACAGGAAAATTCCAAAAGAAAACCTAATTCAAATTTGAGTTTTCAACATAATGAAAACATTTCAAAACAGCTTGCAATTCATTTCTTTAAGTTGAATCCTATCTTTTGGCAAGGATTATAATGTATGAACATAGAAAAACCAACATGCATGGGAGTACTGTGTGCCTTTCCATGATTCTCCATTCTAGGTTTACATGGAATGCTTTGATTCTATATTTCAATATCACTAAAATTTTCATTTTAGTTACAAGGACACAAAGGAAGTATTCATATGCAACAAGGAATTATCTGTCATTGTCCTGTAATTCATTATTTATATCCATTATAATTTTCATATTATAATAATATGCTACTTAAGCTAGCCCTTGATAGTTGTGTATCACTAAAATTTTCATTTTAGTTACAAGGACACAAAGGAAGTATTCATATGCAACAAGGAATTATCTGTCATTGTCCTGTAATTCATTATTTATATCCATTATAATTTTCATATTATAATAATATGCTACTTAAGCTAGCCCTTGATAGTTGTGTATCACTAAAATTTTCATTTTAGTTACAAGGACACAAAGGAAGTATTCATATGCAACAAGGAATTATCTGTCATTGTCCTGTAATTCATTATTTATATCCATTATAATTTTCATATTATAATAATATGCTACTTAAGCTAGCCCTTGATAGTTGTATTATAATAATATGCTACTTAAGCTAGCCCTTGATAGTTGTGTATCACTAAAATTTTCATTTTAGTTACAAGGACACAAAGGAAGTATTCATATGCAACAAGGAATTATCTGTCATTGTCCTGTAATTCATTATTTATATCCATTATAATTTTCATATTATAATAATATGCTACTTAAGCTAGCCCTTGATAGTTGTGTATCACTAAAATTTTCATTTTAGTTACAAGGACACAAAGGAAGTATTCATATGCAACAAGGAATTATCTGTCATTGTCCTGTAATTCATTATTTATATCCATTATAATTTTCATATTATAATAATATGCTACTTAAGCTAGCCCTTGATAGTTGATAGTTTAAAGCATTCTAGTGGAAGTTAATACAAACAACAAATTCCAGACAACAGTACCTTTTCTTCCACCATAGTGAGGAGCAGTATCCCAGAACTCATCACGCATCTGTATAAGCTGAGACTTTGTTATAGGCTGAGGATGCTTCCAAGGTTTGGGCTTCCGAATCTTCTTGACAGCCCCTGCAGTAATTCAAATTGTCAATAATTGCTTAACTCTACGCTAACTGTTACCTAGTTAGAATTGGTGCATAGGGAAAAATTTCATTGATAAGAATAAGTCTTCCCCAGAATTTTATTTAGTTAGAGAGCCTAGGCTGATTATAAAATAAATAATTCAAGAAAACCTAGATGGTGATGAAACACTCCCAGTAAAAAGAAACAAAATCCTATTTGGCTCCTTATTTTCACTATTACTCATCCAATTCCATTGAGTCTTATAGTTGTACTCCTCAGAGAGAAAGAGATCCACAGTAGGTATACAGAGAACTCATGCAGGATTTCAGCATAGAGGAACATGCAAATAAAACTGTCATGAGATCATGACGCATGCCTGAACAAACACAAAACACATGGAGAAGGTGGATATCAAATATTTCAGGACCTTGAAATATAAACTTAACAGGTCAACATAACACGTGTTATTCTCTGACAAGATAACATATTTAAGAGATATTCCTCCACAAGTCCATGGAACAAAAAAGTGAGGAGACCTGATAATTTTCATTACAAAGGAGAATCTCATTTTGGAAGCTATAATGATCATTTAAGGTTTTGTCATATATCTTTTGTATGTCAAAGTTGAATTGTACCTTACTAAAACCATCAGTAGGATCTGCAAAGCAAAGATTGGTGTCTTTCAGGAAGCTAACGTTAACAAGAATCACAAGGATAAACAAGTAGCAGTAGGAAAATAGATTCATTTCCATGTGTCCTGGTTTTTGCTTTAGCAAACCCCTAACTGTTCTTACTTATAGTCATATGTACCAAGTCCCATAAGCAGGTGTCAGCAAGTATTTTTCGACGCTGGTTGTCCCTTTTAAGACAAGAAAATGATGTTTCCTTAGACCTTTTTTAGAATCAAAATGGAAATCGAATAGGTTTCATATATGTCTTGCTTTGTTATTGAATTGAGATTGAGTAGGAAAGGAGTCTACATTGCTATTATTAGGTGTAGAACAGTCCTTACACTAATTTCCAGTAGCTCTTACTAGGTAAACGGGATCTAACTTCTCAAAAATTACAGATCTCCTCACTTGACCAGCTGATTCATCCTAATACATCCAGTGACATCAATTTCTACAATGGCTATTCTATCAATTAATTCTTCTTTGAGCTAAGTTAGATGACATTTCCCAAATCTTGAGTTGTTTAATACAAACTAAACATCAATATAGAATGCACCGTCAAAAGATTTATATGTTCCAAATAACTTTTGATGTGAAGCCTCTTTTCCTTATTTTATCAAGAAAGAAACACTGAGTTTCCTCTCAATAGATGCATCAAAAACTTCAATTGTTTCTTTTGTTAAACTTCTACACTAATCTTTCCTAAATCAGAACACAAACAATTTCATCCTAAATCATACATTACTTCTGTCCTGACAGCATAATTTAACAAATTAGCCACTAAAATCTAAAAAAAAAGGACCTAAAACTATAATCACTAAATTAAGCTAACCATAACTAAAAAGAGATAAAAGAAATTTAGACGCGCATTGCAATTATTACATAATAGATTAACAAAATCCATAACAGAAAGAAAGCAAAACAATCTAAGGCATTATTTTCCATTATTTTCGTTAGATTTCTCAGAAACCAAACAAAAAGTAAAACTCTTGAACAAAGAAAGAACCAAAAGAAAAATCAGAGTGACCTCACCGTCTTCTTTGGCCTGTGACGATCCAGCACAACCCATTACTTCCCTTTCTTTTGCAGTTTCAGACGCAAAATATAAAGAGCAACAACTTCAACTGACAAGAACAAAAAGAAAGAGACAGGGAAACTGAGGAGTTTCTAGAAAGAGAGAAACTCCATTGAAATTGAAAAGACAAGTCAAAATGAAGTTCTCTCTAGTTTCAATTTCAGTTTCTAAAGAGAAAATCAAGGAAGAGGGCTTTATTTATTTTTATTTTTCCTTTCTCTTATTTTATTTATATAAAAATAATATAAATAACTGTACAAATTGTTTTTGGTTGGTCGTTTTTGGGTTCCGATGGGAATTGTGTGCAGTGCGGTTATTCCGGTGAGTCTTTGTAACTGGAGTTAAGTAGAGATGGAGCAAGCAGACTTTGTTAAAAACCAAATCGATTTCGATTTTCAATGGAAAAATTAAAGATATTTAATAATATAATTCACTTCCATTTATGCTATAAAAAAACTCAAAATCAGTTTTATTTTTATCTCAATAGTTAAAATTAAACTAAATTGATTTGTTTAGTTCGATCTAATTGAAAACACAGATTTTCATTTAAAATAATTTCTGATGGATTCTATCAAAGATGATTCTTTCAATTAGGTTTGGTTGAACTGGTAAATTGAATGTTCACCTCTAAAAATTAATTAATTAATTAATTTAATAATAGAATGAAATAAAGGACAAAAAAAATGAAAATCGTGTAGATGACATATGATGAGAATTGATAATTGAAGCTGATTGCTAAATTATAAGATAAAGGTAGTTAGCTGTCAATTGTCATGTTTCTTTTGCCGGTGAGTGGGGGGAAATATGGCATGTAATTAACCTGTTGCTAATCTAAAATTGGAACAGGTAGAATTGGAATTAAAACCCACCGCGCTGGTTTTGGTTTTAGATCTTTGATCTGGTAAATAAAATTAGTTGTTTTAATAATTATCAGTTATTTTAATAGTATTTAGTTGTTAGCTGTTTGAGTAATTTTTCATGAAATACTAAAAGTTAAACGTTATATGAGTTAATTTTTCACAAAACAACGCCACCCTAATATCTAAGCTACTTAAAAAGTTGTTGCTGAACACACCGCCTTTATCAGAGAAGAAGATTTAGTTTTTTTACTCCAAAAATAAAAAATTAATCAGAATGATAAAAAAGAAAAAAGGATGTAAATAATTCTAATTTACTGCTTGAAATTGTTTACCATATAAAAATAGGTTAATTTTGGTCAAAATTTTAAACTCACATATAAAAATAGGGATTGAAAATGTTTTGACATGCTCATGCTTGAAAGCGGGAGATTTTAATGGGTATAAAAACTCGCTTAAAGTAAGTTTGAATATTAAATGAATTTAAGATATATATAGATATTAAATTAATTATTTACCGTGAGTTTAGATCGAGTGTGGGTACTTGTCATCTGAGAAAAATTATTATATCTTTTAAAAATATTTATAAAACAAAATAATTTAAATAAAATTTAAGAACATATTGAGCTCAAGATGGTAATAAAACTAGAGTTCAATATTTTACTAAAAACTAAAATAAATTAAAACCAAGTGACCAAGTCCAAACATTGTTTGTTATAATTTCTTTAGATTGCCTTATTGATGCATTTTGGAATTTTAAAATTGGACATGAAGATTAATTTAAAAGAATAATAATTGAAAAATTATGGTGTTATTTTATGATGAACAAAGTGGATTTTAGGGATACCTTATTGATCTCAATCTAATTAAAACGGGTTTAGATATTGATTAAATGAGTGTTAAATGGGTGCAAGTATTAAAATTTTAAAAAATTTTAAATTGGACTGAGTATGGATATTTTAAAATTAATTTTAAATGAATTCAAGAAGGATATGAACATTGAAATTTTAAGCAGATTTGTGTGTGAATAGTGCAAAAATTTTGCTTGTATCCACTCTACTTTCTTTCCAGTCTGGATTATTTTTCTTGATCCATCCTTGACATCCTTATTGTGCACGCGAAGATAGGAAGATTCTACTTACCTTAAATCTCGAGGATTTGTTCTAATAATAACAATTATAAATTATTATTTTTTTATTAAAAAATTAATTATTTTTACATATTTAAATAATTAAATATTTTTTTAGAAGTAATTAAATATTATAATTTAAAAACTATGTAAATTATTAAAATTATATTTGTAACTTAAGATTATTTTTTAATAAAATTTTTATTATTATAATGGTATAGTAAATAAAAATGAAAATGAAAATTTTATATGGGGAACTTGGCCCGCCTTGTTCTCCAATTGGAAAGGTCAACCCCAATCTCAATTTTTCATGGGGCAGTGATGATAAAGGCGATCCCATCCGCATCTTGTTTCGTTGTCATCCATAACATAAAAAAAAAAAAAAAAAATTTTACCATATATTTGAAATAAATTAAATATTTTTTTTAAGAAAGTAAATTAAATATTACAATTTAAAAACTAATGTATAATTATTATAAAATTATAATTTGTATAAACTTAAGATTAGAATTTTTTTAAATGGGAAAATTTTTATTTATTATAAATGGTATGAGAGTAAATAAAAATGAATAATGAAAATTTTTATCAAGTGTGGGGGGAAGCATTGGGCCCAGCCTTGTTCTCCGACAATGGGCAAAAGGTCAAGCCCCAATTCTCAATCTTTCGACATGGGGCAAAGTGATGATAAGGCGATCCGCATCCGCATCTTGTTGTTCGTGTCATCCATAACATAAAAAAAAAAAAAAAAAATAGTTTTTGTATTTCACTCTTATTTAGTTTCAACTCTCTTTTCTCCGTTTCATTTGTTCCTCCACTTAGAATAATCCACTTAATATCAACTATGAGAGAGAGGGGCACACCCGACACATCGATTAAATCTCTGCCTACTGCGGGCCTCGTAGCTTAACAACCCTTGCCCGTCCACGGGCCGTTAACCGACCGAATGAACCCGAGCCGAAGACGCTAGCATATCTGGTTGAACACATGTCCTGATCATGCGGATATCATACTGTATTGCTAAATTAATAATATAAAATACTCCAATTAAAACATTCAGACTTCCAATATTTTCCAACTAATCATCAGAACACAATAACACTTTATCAATATCTTCTTCAATCCTTCAATAGCATTTAATATCCAGGCAATTAAGTGCATTCAATGAATGCTATATCAAGGTCTTCCATGATTCTATATTCAAGTCTTCATGAACTAAATCCACACGACTGGGCCCAAACTATAGAGTAAAAATAATTTTCATCTCAATCATTTTCACATAAGTATGTATTCATTATCTCCAACTACTTACCACCAAAAATAATTGTACATGCTTCCATCAATTATATGTTACAATACACAACTAAGCTCTAACAAATGTAAATAATCTATAGATACCATGCTAAATAAGAAATTCTTAAATTATACAAACTCTCAATCTACTAGTAGACCAAAATTAATACACTTCTGGCTTTATAGTCACTGCTTCCAAGTCTTCAATGTAGCTAAACACCACGGATCGTTCAACCTAAAGCCGCGTGATAAAAAAATCGACCGGCGCTGAGTAAAAAGAACTCAGTGATGCTTACATAGATGTCCACATACGGGTACCAAAAGTGGATAACACTAACTTAAAATAGCCCAAGATTTCAATGGAAAAACATTGGAAAAAATCATAGATTCAAGTAAATTTCAAAACATCAATTGTATCATTTTAATAGCAAAGAAATAAAACTTCTAGATTGAGCAGATAAACAAGTCAAAATAATTTTAATTGTGGTTCTAATTTATCTCATACTCCTTTTTACAAATGAACCTTTAACTCACACATATCGATGAGAGACTCCATTATCCTGCGGTTTATTAATGACTGAGTATAGAAATTAAATAAATAAGACATGATAATGAACACAAATATACAGTATAAGGTTATTTATATCTGTAACTTGCTGTTCATCTAATGTTTGTAATACTTTAAGTCGCACCTGTTAGTCACATCAATATTAATGTTATGAATATACAATAACATCCTCATAACTTGTATTGGCCCTCCACTTAAAAGAAATTAAATAAATTATGAACTTGTAAGCATATAATAGCAATTATACTGTTCCATGACTTAACGCTGGTTCTTTATGCTGTAAGATGAATTCCTGCATGAACTTTTATTAAAAACTCACCCGAATATACGCAACGAAGTAAAAGAAACATATAAAGCACAATAGTCCATATCGATAGATAATAAACATGTACCTTCACATAATGGAATGTAAGCACACATTATGCAAGATAGCTGTTCATTAATCCATAACTTCTGCTCATTATATCTGTACATTGATTATGGAATTTGTAATCAAAATAATAAACTGTACAAAAAAATAGCTCCAATAAGGTTATAGGTGAATACCAAAAGTGATAGAAAACTGTATGAAACTGTATTGACTGGGTTCTGCTGATGGCCATTATATAAATGCCATATTCCCACTCAACGGCCCTGTAGCCGGAGTACAAACTGTATGGGGCGCAGATTCTGCTATGCTCAACCTATGTCGCAACAATAGCCTTATATCTAAGTGGTTTCTAAGCGCTAAACTTCTTAAATGGAGCATATTATGGTATGTTAAAATAAAGAATAAAATACAAAGCAATAGTAACTGTGTCAATAATTTGCATGCTGTGTCATGTTGACTTTTCACAAAGGCTTGTGTCTATAAAATTAACTGCTTCAATAATTATCATAAAAGCCCTTACTGCTTACCTGTATGCTGATAGCCCCTTGGAGCGCGAGCGCCAGGCGGGCAACTTGTGTGCATGTGGTAGTTCCACCAGCGGCAGTATTTTGCATGCTGTGAGCAAATATTTGTGTTTATAAACAATGTGTTTCATAGTTTGTCTTTTTTGCTTTAAAATGATTGACATGGGCATACAAGTTGAAGCAAAAGAGAAACATTGCATAGAAATTCATACTGGTCAATACACCCATAGTGTTTACCTCATTCGACATCAATTTGCAGCTGCATGTGGGTTTTGATACAATGTTCTCAATGTTGTCTTTTTGTTTAAAATGATTGGAGGCATACAAGTTGGGCAAGAAGGAATACAACTTGCATAACGAAAATGAAAGTACCAAAAGAGCATGACGGAACAGAATCACAATTCCGGCGAGGGCGAGTGCGGCCAAACTTGCAAAGGCGCGAACCAGAGAAAGCACACGAAAGTAGGGTCAGAGGTTTACAAAGGCTCTAAACTTCGGCGAGCGGCGCAATGAAAATTCGCGAGCGCTGAGAAGTGCAAAAATGAGAGTCAGAGAGGTTCACAGGGCGACCAAAATTCGCAAGCTCGACATGAAAAATTCGCGAGCGCGCCGCAAGCTCGACATGAAATTCGCGAGCGCGCGTCGTGTTTTCCAGCCTGCGCAGTCTTTACTATTTTTGTCATATCTCTCAATTTACAACTCCGATTCTGGTGATTCAA